CTTTCAAAAAAATATAAAATATGGAACAAAACATGACAAATATAAAAATACATACAAATAAATAGGTTTAAAATAAACCATGTAAAAAAAAAAAACCCTTGCTATTGAGCCATGCTAATATTCTGAACTGGCTTAAATCAATTATCCTCAAGCCTAAATGTCCCTTAATTACAGGTAGAATAAAGATGCAAGAGTTTATAAACTTACCGCTATTACGCAGTAAACGCAAATCACAAACATAAAACATAACCTTTCAAAAAAACATAAAATATGGAACAAAACACGACAAATATAAAAATACATAAAAATAAATAGGTTTAAAATAAACCATGTAAAAAAAAAAAACCTTGCTATTGAGCCATGCTAATATTCTGAACTGGCTTAAATTAATTATCCTCAAGCCTAAATGTCCCTTAATTACAGGTAGAATAAAGATTAAATGTCAGTTTCCATTCCCACATCCCTCAGCACTGTCTCCCCACTGTTCTCAGGAGAAAGAAAAATCTCTCTCACCTAGAAATTGTACCCCGAAGTAACACGCTTCTGTAAGTAGCGTCCATTGAATGATGACCTTTTCCGCTGTGTACAAGCCATTCCACAGAATTAATGAGATACCTGTTGGGAAGAGCAAAACACTCAGAGTCAATTCTGAGATCATCCTAAGTCAGGTAGAGACATTAAAGGGCACCTATCTATTAAATATAATGCAGAATCTCCTCAAAACACCCAAGCACTTAGGCTTGGAATTAAAAAGCTTGAAATCTGGCCCAAGATCAGAGAACCGATGGTGCCGTGGGTTCTGATATCCTCCCACACTGCGGATATGGATAACACGGAGAGTAGCTGTTTCTTCAACCCTGCTAAGTGCCATCTGCCAGCACTATTTTTCCAGCCTTGCTTGAGTAATTCCCACCATCGAATTCATTTTTAAAACAGAGGCGTAAAATATTCATACCACTTGAAATCATACACTAATCTGGCAGTGAAAAGCTCATCTAGTCATGAATATTTCCTGTGAGTGGGAGACAGAATTGCACAAATGTGTTTACATTATGCATTTGCTATGCATAAATTGAGATGGAGTGGAAAAAGCGAAAGCGTATAGACATGCACATATACGCTACATGGCCAACAGTATGTGAAGAAATGCATATGTAAACATCCCTTTCCAAAATGATGGGCGTTAACATGGAGGTGGCCCATTATACAAAGTGTCCTAATGAGTCCAATACATACACATGCATTTTATTTGAATGATATCTGCAATGCTTTTACAAACGCCATACTTTTTTGGTTGTCCTTGTGGAACTTGTAGTATTTTTTTAAATAATATTTAATGTTTCCTTTTTTAGCCAATTTACAGTGGGTATAGAAAAGAATCACCCCCCTTTAAAATAATCACATTTTATTGCGTTGCAGCCTGAAATGAAGACAGACACAGTTCCCTCTTTTTCCTAATCGGCTTGGGTCTCATTATTGGCTCATGCTTACAGGAGCCCTCAGTATAGGTGCTCTGGGGCAGGGCTCGAAGAGCGCATTTGTTCTGCACTTGCTTATAGCACGGCGCTATTGGATGTGTTCCCCTTAAGTGGCAGCTACGCAACGGTAGAGACAGTTCGAAAGGGAACGCTCCAGTTACTAATATAACCTCGTTTCCGATGACTGTTGCTTGAGTCAAAAGATTATGACGAAATGAGAGCCTTATATAGCAGTCGGCTCCACTCCTTTTGGCGAGTGGAAGCATCACTGATTCGTGCAGCTACAGGAACATGAACAAATCAGGCTTCAATATCAGAGTAAAAAGGAGTTTCCCCTATAAGCATCAGCGACGCAACGCAACACTCATTCCCTTATCTCAGGGAACCAAGGTTACGTTAGCAAAAGGAGCGTTTTTGCTTTATCCAGCTGTATTTACTCAGTGCAACTTATAACATCCAAGTGAAAGATATAACACCAACATGCCAGAAAAAAAAATAAAAAAACAGAATCACAGAATTGGAAAAAGGATCTGACCCCTGTGTCAGTATTTTGTTGAACCACCTTTTGCTTTAATCAGTGTTGGGAAGGTTACATTGGAAATGTAATAGGTTACAGATTACAAGTTACCCTATTTAAAATGTAATAAACAGTGTAACTATTTCAATTACTTTATTAATGTAACATTACATTTGATTATTTTTTTGATTACTTTTCTAAATTGCTAACCAATGATTTCAACTATTAATCATTTCAAAACATTTAAAACAGGCAGGGTTAACCTTATGGCAGTTTTCAACACTGATTACTGTCAGACTTCTCAAAATCCTTCATCACTTGAATTAAGATTATAATAATTTAATTTTAACGCATAGCAGCCACAAAAATCAGACTTTACCACCTTTTTTTACTTTAAGAGGTTAAATACAGATTTAAAATCATAAGAAATAGTTTAATAGCTACGATACTATTTTTGAAATCAAATCATTGCATAGCTATGACAGGAACCACTGGCATCTAACAATGCCTAGGAAAAAAAGTTAATCTTAAGAAATAAAGCATATGCATAAACCCAAATATGAAATAAAACAGTTATCAAATAAGCATGTCCTAAACTCCTGAAACATTGGTGTCTCATATTTTACAGCAGTCAATGCAATTTGGTAAAGAAATCAATTAAATCTGTCTGTGTGTGTGTGTGTGTGTGTG